GATATTAATTTTATGTCTCATTGATCTGTTTAATGTTGACAGTGGGGTGTTAAAGTCTCCCACTGTTATTATGTGGGAGTGTAAGTCTCTTTGTACATCTCTAAGAACTTGTTTTATGAATCTGGGTGCTCCTGTATTGGGTGCATATATATTTAGGATAGTTAGCTCTTCTTGTTGCATTGATTCCCTTTACCATTATATAGTGCCCTTGTTTGTCTCTTTTGATCTTTGTTGGTTTAAAGTCTGTTTTATCAGAGACTAGGATTGCAACCCCTGATTTTTCTTGCTTTCCATTTGCTTGGTAAATATTCCTCCATTCCTTTATTTTGAGCCTATATGTGTCTTTGCATGTGAGATGGGTCTCCTGAATACAGCACACTGATGGTTCTTCACTTATCCAATTTGCCAGTGTGTGTCTTTTAATTGAGGCATTTAGCCCATTGACATTTAAGGTTAATATTGTTATGTGTGAATTTGATCCTGTCATTATGATGTTGGCTGATTATTTTGCCCATTAGTTGATGCAGTTTCTTCACAGTGTTGATGGTCTTTACAATTTGGTATGTTTTTGCAGTGGCTGGTACCAGTTATTCCTTCCATGTTTAGTGCTTCCTTTAGTAGCTCTTGTAAGGCAGTCACGATGGTGACAAAATCTTTCAACATTTACTTGTTTGTAAAGGATTTTATTTCTCCTTCACTTATGAAGCTTTGTTTGACTGGATATGAAATTCTGGGTTGAAAATTCTTTTAAGAATGTTGAATATCGGCCCCCACTCTCTTCTGGCTTGTAGGATTTCTGCAGAGAGATCTGCTCTTAGTCTGATGGGCTTCCCTTTGTGGGTAACCCGACCTTTCTCTCTGGCTGCCCTTAACATTTTTTCCTTCATTTCAACCTTGGTGAATCTGACAATTATGTGTCTTGGGGTTGCTCTTCTCGAGGAGTATCTTTGTGATGTTCTGTGTATTTCCTGAATTTGAATGTTGGCCTGTCTTGCTAGGTTGGGGAAGTTCTCCTGGATAATATCCTGAAGAGTGTTTTCCAACTTGGTTCCATTCTCCCTGTCAACTTTCAGGTACACCAAACATAGATTTGGTCTTTTCACATAGTCCCATATTTCTTGGAGGCTTTGTTCATTTCTTTTCACTCTTTTTTCTCTAATCTTGTCTTCTCACTTTACTTCAGTAAGGTGATCTGCAATATCTGGTATCCTTTCTTCTGCCTGATTTGGCAGTGTATGCTTCACGAAGTTCTTGTGCTGTTTTTTTCAGCTCCATTATGTCATTCCTGTTCTTCTCTAAACTGGTTATTGTAATTAGCAATTTGTCTAACCTTTTTTCAATGTTCTTAGCTTCCTTGCATTGGGTTAGAACATGCTCCTTTAGCTCAGAGGAGTTTGTTATTACCCACCTTCTGAAGCCTACTTCTGTCAATTCATCAACCTCATTCTCTGTCCAGTTTTGTTCCCTTGCTAGCGAGGAGTTTTGATCCTTTGGAGAAAAGAGGCATTCTGGCTTTTGGAATTTTTAGCCTTTTAGTGCTGGTTTCTCCCCATCTTCATGGATTTATCTACCTTTGGTTCATGTTGGTGACCTTTGGGTGGGGTCTCTGAGTGGACATCCTTTTTGTTGATGTTGATACTGTTCCTTTCTGTTTGTTAGTATTCCTTCTAACAGTCAGGCCCCTGTGCTGCAGGTCTGCTGGATTTTGCTGGAGGTCCACTCCAGTGCTGTTTGCCTGGGTATCACCAGCAGAGGCTGCAGAATAGCAAAGATTGCTGCCTGTTCCTTCCTCTGGAAGCTTCATCCCAGAGGGGCACGCACTAGATGCCAGCCAGAGCTTTCCTGTATGAGTGAAATTAGGTAACTTTTTAAGAAGATTACATGTAAACTATTTTTTTTTTGGCTCAGTAACATTATTTTAAGTATTTATTTAAAGATCAAGTACTCTTAGCTTTTCTGACACTGTCATATCTGCCCTATCATATTGAGGTTATTTCTGAGGTAGTGCTAGTTTGACCTGTGTCCATATGAGCACACTCTAAAGTAGTGTTTCTCAACTTTTTTTTTGCATTAGCCTCCCCCAACTTCCCCACCAGGAACATTTTAGACATCTTTCCCTAATTTCCTCTACCATGACACTCTAATACCACTGTGTATCTGTTTTTGTACTGTATTTCTGTGCTTTATATGATTTTTTTTCATCCTCCAACATCAATTTTCACACTCTTGGAGGTATAACACGTCTGCTGAAAAAATCATGCCCTACAGAGAATATATGAAATTCCAACTCTCACTACCCCAGGTCCAAGATAACCTTTCTCTGGGATCTTTATGGATGATGAGATTATTTGAGGCCACACCAAATTAGGCTCCCTGAAAACTATGATTAGGGCTCATATTCCCAGAGCTGCAGTAGAACTGAAAGTTGTAATCTTCTAATTTTGTCTGAATGTTTAACAGGGAATTCTAAATTGATACACCATCAGGATTCACCCTCAAGTAAGATTATCCAGGATTCCTTTGCTACATCCATAATTAGTTTATCTACTCTTCTTTATTCTTAATATGTTGAACAAGATTTAGGACTTTATGAATATACTTTGGAGATCATACTTTCACTACTATACCCATTAATATGAGTTATCTGATGCAACCTGAAGTTGTACATAGCTTGCACTGTCAGTATTGATGGGTGAATGCATATGTAGAAAAGTCTGAAGTGGTATGCAATATGGATAGTCTTTTTTTTTTAAGAAAGAGAAAAATGTTTTACTAAGAATCTGATTGTTAAATAGCTAAGTTGTTGGAGCAACTATGAGAGAATGGCCTAGGCAATTACTAGAACCAAGGTATTTTTGGCATTTGATTGTGTTGTCCATACTCTTACCTTCCACGTTTAGGACAGTAGTTTTAAAATAAGAGAAACTGAAGATGTTGGAAAAAAATTCCCATTAAATGTGAATGATCTTAGATGATAGAAACTGAAATTCTTTTTTCCTAGCACAATGTTCATCATTCTTTAGATTTCAGATTTCCAAACTATGTTTCAGAAAAGGATTGTCCTGTATAGTAAAGTCTCAATTTTTAGAATTTTCTTTCTCTGAAATAACTTTTAAAATGAATGATGCCTTATTAAGGAATAATGGTATGCTCAGTGTTCTAGGATTCAACTTCAACATTTTTCTAAGTCCTTCAATAAGAAGGTAAAACTCAGTTTCAGGTTTGTCAACAACCTTTACTCTTATTATCAAGAGTTTCTATTCAACAAACTGCAAAGCACTGTTATAAAAGTAATAAAGGTAAAAAAGTGGTACCATGAGATTCACACTGTCTTCAAAATTATTGATAGGAGTAAGGATTTATAACAGCTTTTAAAAAAATTCTGACAATTTATGGGAAATACTATTTTAATTTTTAAATGCCTCTTAACTGTAGTCAGTAAGTGCTAACAATCAACACAATCCAATTATTGTCATTTAGCTGTGGGCTCCCTACAACCTGCACATGATGGCTTATATACCTTGGTTATGCAGATTAAAATTGTTAACTGGGCTGGGTGCAGTGGCTCACACCTGTCATCCCGGCACTTTGGGAGGTCGAGGCGGTTGGATCACCTGAGGCCAGGAGTTCAAGACCAGACTGACCAACATGGTGAAACCCCGTCTCTACTAAAAATACAAAAAATTAGCCAGGCGTGGTGGCGGGCACCTGTAATCCCAGCTATTCAGGAGGTTGAGGCAGGAGAATTGCTTGAACCCAGGAGGCGGAGGTTGCAGTGAGCCGAGATCGCACCATTACACTCCAGCCTGGACAACAAGAGTAAAACTCTGTCTCAAAAAAAAAAAAAAAAAATTGTTAACTCGTGGTGTTAGAGAATTCAGTTATTTTTTCTTAAAAATCAAGATGAAGTCTTTGATTCTGTAAATAACTTTTTTTCTCTAATCAAAAACGAGGGGTCTTAAATGTTACTAAGGACATAATAATACATTTTGTTCTAATATACTTAAAATTTAGGATAGCCAATAAAAGCCCATTGTAATAACAACCTTCAAGAAAATTATTAAGCAGAGGAAGAAAGTATGATATGTATACTTCAAGTAGTATTCCACTAAGTATTTTCATTATTGAGTGCCTTGTTAGGTTATCTTTCCATTTGCTTTAGTATCTTTGATTTCTTTAACTTCATTGTTTTTCATTTCAGTAAATAAATTCCAACTCACAATCTTATATTACATGCTCCTAGAATATTCATACCCTGAGTTTCCATAATACATACCTCAAGTATTTGAAGGACCTTAAACTTTTTTATTATTAAATACCATATATTTAATTATCTGTGTATGAAAAGCACCTAAACATTTTCATCTATGTATACAATTGTGCTTGAAAAGATAAATAACTGATCAACAGATTTTTCCATTTCACACTTTGTGTTTTTAGTGTTTGACAAGATCTTACCATCTGCAATGGATAATTTGCCTTCTTAGCTTCCTGTTGTCTCTATAACATGCCTGCTCTACCATTTTTCCATACCACCTTGATCTATTTGTTGTTATTTACCAATCATTCAGATCTAAAAGCTATGCTTCTGTCTGTTCACACTGCTCAAAGATGACTTTACCTCAATAAATAGCATGTATATATGCGTGCTTCTACTGCCATTATCTTCCTACTACTGGTATTAAAATTAAAACATTCACAGAAGCTTGTAATGCAAATAACTAGAACAGGGACTCTTAGAGCTCTTTTGAAGGTCTCATTTTAAAAATCTGTTACAGTTATATTCAAAATAAAATATTAAGCAATTTGTTATATAAATAAAGGCCTTATAATAGATAATGACCATTAACAACTTTTAAAACCGTATTAGTAAGACTGGTGTTTCAGTTGGAGGTAAGGCTTTTCCTTAAAAATGTGAAAGAGTATAAAAAAGAATGAAACGTATTGAGAGCCTGCAGCAACTAAGCAATGCCATCTGGCATAAACACAATTGGAATTAATTTTTTAACCTAAGAAGAATTTTATTTATATTATAGTAAAATAAAAGGTAAGATTATAAAAGTAAATATTTTAATATTTAGGCATATAATGTGCATTTTACTAAGAATCTGATTAAAAAATTAAAGGCTATATGACATACATACATGGATTTGACTAATGTAGTTTTTCCGTTCTCTTGGTGTCATTTTGAAATCTAATATCACTGTCAGAATTATGAAACATTTAGCAGCTAGTTATCTTGATATTAAATCCAACCAGCTAAAATCTGAGAGTAAACACACAGTATTTCTGATATTCATACTTTAATTAATTTTTTTCTTAATTAAGCTTATCTCATAAAACCTAGTCTTTTGTTTGGATAATCCTGCTGACTTACTGTTATTATTTATTCTAATATACAGCAAACTGATTCTTAGTAAATTATTCCCCAAAATTAGAGAAACTTTCATTAGAAATATTAGAGAAACTTTCATGAGAAATAATTTGAATACAAGAATTAGGGTGGGATACAACAATGTTCATTAAAGACAGTACAGTGGTTGATAGCAGTTGTAGGAAGCATTTCTTAAAAACTGGAAGGTAAACTATCATAACATCCCTAAACCAATGTGTGTGGCCCGTTTCCTTGATTAGGTAAAAATGCAAAAGAAAATCACTTCTGAATATTTACTACATCACTATTTCAATTTAGGGGGAACATGGTAAAGAAATTAACATAGTCTCAATAAATTGAGCACATAATGCCACACCCACCATGGAGATTGGCTCTACAGATATAGAACTGTAGGTATTTTCTAACTATTTTCTAGCTGTTTAAATAAAATTCAAATACTAGAAGTTATAGTTGTAATAAAAATTACACTTGACTGTAAAGTAGCAGTCTTAGGTTAAAAGAATGCTCTTTCACAGCAAATTACAGTGTTACTGGCAGCATGTATAAATAGCATGAAAAAGTGACTATTTTCCAAGCAAGTACCCATGGAAAAACAAAATCATTTATATAAAGATTATATAACTTAATATACTGTAAAGTTACAGAATTACATAATTCTAAGAATACCTTTACCCTTGTTTCTGAAGAATATTAATGTGAAAAAATATTTTGGCATTAACTGCTACGATAATTACTTATGTGTTTCTTGTACAAAACCAACTTAATAGCTACAGGGTTAGCTTATTTTTATGTGTAGTCAGAATCAAAACGGAAAACTTTACGAAGCCTCAATGAAAAGAAGTCTCTTGGAAACTTGGAATTTTATAATAAGGTAGTCATCCCATTTTAAAAACAAGAATGTACATGTGGGATTCTTTATATAAAACTAAAAGATGAAGCATTTTTAAAAAACTTTAAGAAAAGTTAGTTCACATCTTGTTTTAAAAAACAGAATGTTAGAGATCCTTGAGAAGAACCTACTTTTAAGTATGTACTTAAGTTTTAGTATGAAAATCTGGAATCAAGCATATTATATGATAGGCTATTTTTCACTTGCAAGGTAGTAAAATGGAAAATCTCTTAACTGTGTTGCATATACAAATCCTTCAGGAGTCTTTACAAATTAAAAATTAAATTTTCAAAAAAATCTAAAATCTTTTTTAAAACCTAATTCACTGTCATTTTAGATTATTTCTGCATCCAGAACTATTAAAATGCTTTAAGTATAATGAATGTAAAAAACATTTCTTCCTTTTCCTTCCCTTCAACCCAAAATGAGAAGTCTTCAGTACAAGTTTTAAAAAAGTAGAACATGCCACTAAAAATAAAGTAAGAAACTATTTTCTTTTTAATCAAAATAGCAAGTATTTTAAGTTTTGTATAAATAACCCACACACACACGAAAAACCCACCATATTTTATTTTAGGTATGGTGTCTAAAGTGGAGTAGCAATATAACAAATGACAACAACGAACAACCCCTTATACTTAATTGGAAAGATGTATGCTCTCATTTTTCTTAAAGATACACATTATGAATTTTCTACTGGCATTCTTGAATAAAATTAACAAGCATACTTTTTCACTTACCTCATTTTCCCTCTAAAAAGGAAATAAATCTATGACTGCAACGCAAAGTTCTGAAACCCCTCAAATATACAATCTTTAGGAAAAAACTCTTAACCTGCTACACTTCTTAATGTGCTATCCATTTTAAAAACAATCTATTTTATGGCTTATGCTTAAATTTAATTCATAAGCATAGATCTCAGAGATTGAAGAATCTTATTGGCAGTCAGCAGCTCACAGGATGACAATGTTCCTTGCATTCTTAATCTCAACATTTTAAAAGAAAACTGTTCACAGTAGTCTTAGAAAAATTTGGAGATAGTTCCATTTAAAAAACACATTCACCACAAATAGATACAAGGGAAACCATAAGAAAATAGATTATATCTTTGTAAGCTTGTTTCATTTCAAAATGTATTCTTTAGGGTCAGGGAAATTTCCTATACAAATAAAACTAGACATTTGTTCCCTTTACTTGAAAAATATTTACAGTACACAAGCTAAAAGTATACACCTGCTTATAATGCTGGCCAGTGATATAAATGAACAAGGACACAAAGGTACTTATTCAATTATCTGAACATCTAATTTGTTTGTATAGTGAAGTAGTTATAGATAAACTATGGAAAAATTAGAAAACAGTATTAATGAACACCAGCCCTCATGTGTATAAAACATCACACAAGATGCCAAGGTATTATACATCCACTGTGGTAAAAACTATACATACATATTCTGTGCATCTTTAACATCGCAAAATTTACATAATAATTTTTTCACATCTCAAAAAGCTGAGTTGAAAAAGTCTTTTTTTTTTCTTTTGCCAGACATGAGTGATGTTAACTGACAATGTTTAAGAAACTTCTTACAAAACTCCTTGCTAAGGAATTCTCATTAATGTCTTTCACTGGTGACCTCATGAAGAAAAACTTACTAAACTTTGAAAGTTTTGAGCAGATATTTTCACATCTTTGCTGGCTAGCATCATGATTTATATAATAATGATATATGTAATAATAGTCCACAGCAATGTGAAATAGAAAACTTTGTTCTATAAATATACTTTGTTCTCAGAATGAAGGACATTTCTTTCATCCAGCCATGTTATCCCTTATTTGATCCACTCGAAGAGCTAGATCTCTAAAGGAGGGGCGTAGAGTTACATTATTGTTCCAGCATTCTGTCATGATCATATAAATCTGTAAAGGAGAAAATAAACCAAAATTACAAGGAACACTAAGGACCATCTTTTAATTGGTGGAAGACATTAATTTTCAATACAAGGTACATGTCATAACTATGCCTTGTTCCACAGTCATCTGATTATGCTGTTTATCTGGAAGCTCCGCAAATTAAATTTCAGAAAGTGAACTGAAGTCTTTGAGTAAAAAGTAAAATAAAATGCATGATTACCATGGATTTAAAAAAAAAAAAAATGTTACCTCATCTGGGCATCCATCTGGTCTTGGTAATCTTCCATTATTCTTCAAAAGTTCTATCAAATGGAACACGATCATCTGTCCTTGTTTATCATTGCCAATCATACGCATAAATTCCTAAAACAAACCCATTTTCAATATTTTTTGTACATTTAATTTGTAGCAAAATTATTTCTCAATTTCCTCCAGTCAATGGGAAAAATTTAGTATATGTGTGCTTTTGTATGTTTTCAAACCTTTTCAAAAGAGGCTACTTTTAGGATCAAAAACATAAGGCTGTTAAATATGGAACTTCTATAATTTCCATTTCCATAGCTGTAATAAACACCACAAATCCACTGAGAAGGGCTCAAAACACATGAACTAAAAACATATTTCCTTTGAGTTTTTGTTGTTAAAAAACTCACATTTTTATATTACATGTTAATTGAGAAATAAAAACTTGAATATAAAACAATATAAGAAAAAATGAATAAATAAGTATAAATGCAACAGAAAACTTTCATATGTCAAAGTTTATAAAATTAAAATCGAAAGGCTGGGCGAGGTGGCTCAAGCCTGTAATCGCAGCACTTTGGGAGGCCAAGACGGGCGGATCACGAGGTCAGGAGATCAAGACCATCCTGGCTAACACGGTGAAACCTCATCTCTACTAAAAAATACAAAAAACTAGGCGGGCGAGGTGGCGGGCGCCTGTAGTCCCAGCTACTTGGGAGGCTGAGACAGGAGAATGGCGTAAACCCGGGAGGCGGAGCTTGCAGTGAGCCCAGATCCGGCCACTGCACTCCAGCCTGGGCGACAGAGCAAGACTCTATCTCAAAAAAAAAAAAAAACAAAACAAAAACACCTTAATCATTTACTTATTTTCAATATAGAGAGCTCTTATAAATTGGTAAAAAAAATATATATATATAAAGATAGGCAAATCACAGAAGACATACTTCACATATATACATACTCGCCCTAAACACCCAACAAATATATAGTCAATCACATTAATAAAAGAAATGGAAATTAAAATATATATAACCTCTCCCCTATCAACCTGGCAAAAGTACATAAAAATATAATGACCAATACTGGCAAATGATGAAATGTACATCCCTATGCATTGCTGCTGAGATATAATCTGGCACAGCTTTTCTAGAAAGCATTTTGGAATTAAAACCTTTAAAATAGTTCATAACTTTTATTTTTATTCTAAGATACTTATCAGAGATAAATATAAATATGCATGAGAATATTCACTATGTTCACTAAAGTGTTACTTAAAAGACTGAAGAATGGAAAATGATTGTTCAGACATATATAGCCTTATGATGGAATGCTACTCAGCAATTAGAAAACACATTTGCAGTACATTTTCCTAATATAGTAAATTTATCCATGCTGTAATACTTCATGAAACAGCAGGAGAGCAAACTGCACAGTATGACCTTAATGTTATAAAATAATATATATTTATATATAAAAGTGAACTTTTATAAAAGTTATAAAAGTGAACTTTTATAAAAGTTATAAAAGTTTCATATACTTTTTTGTATATACTTTTATACACAAAATAAAAAGAAGCCTGAAAGATAACATACTACAGTATTAAGGTGGTCTTCTCTGAGAAATTGCATTAGAGATGATTTTTATTTTTTCCATATTAAAAAAATTCTATGATGACCAAGAGAAAAATTACTTTGGAAGGTTTATTTTAACTTATGCAATAATTCCTACAATGAACGAGCTAACTGGATTTAATAAAAATAATATTAAGAGACTATACTAAGTTTCCCAATACTCCCTTTTTAAAAAATTCAAGCTACTTTGTGAATAAGTTTGGGGTTATTTTGTTGGATATTGCCTTAAAAATAAGCAATAAGAGCTCTAAAATAAGTCCTAGGCTTACTGTTCTTTGGATAAATCCTTTCTTATGTTAAAAAACTTCAATGTGGCTGTCTAGGAAACCGCGGCATCGGCGGGCAGGGGCTGGCGGCCAGAGCTGGGCAGGGGGTGGAGGCGAGGGCTTGGCTGTCTCCAGGGCTGCCACGCAGAGCGCGGGCTTCGTGGCATGGACATACCTGTTTGTTTCTAATGTGGCTGTAGTTGGCATTCTATCCCATACCAAGATAACTTTTGAGATGAAGAAACCGAGGCACAGAGGGATGAAGTAGCCTGCTCAAGATCACACAGCTAACTAAAAGTGAATCAGAAAAATAAAGAACCAGCATCAAATTTGAAGTGGCCACAAATTCTATTAAAGCAGAATAAATAGTGTGAACCATAAAAGAGAACCAGTTTCCTCTCTACTCTGCAATTTAGAGGAAAAATTTTCATCCAAGGACAGATCAGAAGATGGCCGAATAGGAACAGCTCTAGCCTCCAGCTCCCAGCATGAGCGACACAGAAGATGGGTGATTTCTGCATTTTCCACTGAGGTGTAGACCGACACCTAACACCTCACACGGCTGGGTACACCCCTGAGATGAAGATTCCAGAGCAAGAATCAGACAGCAGCACTCGCTGTTCAGCAATATTCTATCTTCTGCAGCCTCCGCTGCTGATACCCAGGCAAACAGGGTCTGGAGTGGACCTCAAGCAATCTCCAACAGC